AGACTGTTCCTTACAGGTGTGTTCTCCAAAGAACAACGTTTGCTCAGCGATGCAAAGGGGCAAAGGCTGGAGAAGGCAGTGCCTGAAACCCTTTCATCCCAACCCAGCTTGTTAGCAGCATCTCCAATCTGTCACCAGGCGGGCCAGCCTGCTTCTGCTATGCTGCTACTTCTTCCCCTGACAATGCTATCCTGGAGGTGGGAGCACAAGAAGAAGGGGGGTGTAAAAGAAGGTGAAGACAGCAGCCACACACACAAGGAGAGGATTTAATAAGGAGAACAAATAGTCACATTTTCAGCTTTTCCAGCTTCTTCAACCCTCCATTTCCCCTTGGCCCAGGACTGCTGCCAATGTCCTGTGAAAGAAGCATGGATTACACCATACAGAGTCATTCACTGCACTTTACAGCAAGTCCTCCAACATTTCTCACCAAGGGCCTGTCCTAAAAGCCCTGCACCCTAAGAATACACTAGTGCAGTTAAATTTAGACTTGTTTTAACATCTCTTTTCTTAACCGCAAATTTGGATCATCTCCTCAATCATACCTGCAGGATGGCAGGCGCAGGCATCTCTGATATCTGAGAGGACATCACTGCAGACATCACTGCTCTCAAGGGTGAACCATACACTAGGTGACCAAATACAGAATCTGACACTGGCCCTTGGGAAAAGGTTCTTCCCATCATGTCCAGGATGCCCCATGCAGGTATGTCCAGGTCAGATCCAGCTATTTCTAGGCCCTCGAGAGGTATGAAGGAGAGGGAAGCATACAAGTCTGTATTTTCACCACACAGGTTTGACAGCACCCTGGTCTTCCAGTGGCTTTCCTTATACTGCACTTTCTCTGAGCACCCTGTGCTGCTGCATCAAAATCCAGAGGGAGCTTTCCCTTCTTCACCAGGGCAGGCAGAGGGGGAAAACACTCCAGTTCCCAAACTCTGCTTCCAAACAAAACCAAGACAGATTTCTGGATTCAGAGGGTCAGTCCCACAGATCAGCCCTCTGCCCCCCATGCACTGCACGCTGAGCAAGCCTTCCCCAGCCTCAGCTGCTGTTTCAAGACTAAGACCATCCCCCCAGCATATGCTTTTCTGTCTGCTCTCCCCAGTCCCAGCATGACGAATCACCAAAGGACTGCACAGGAGCCGCCTGGAAGGGAATTTGCATGCTGACTCTCCAGGGGAGAATTCTTCAGGCTCCCAGAGGGTTAGGCCATTAGCACTGGTTCAGAGCCGACACCATTATCCCACTGAACTGCTGCATCCCTTCATGAGGTAACAACACAGAATGAAATTCCACCCCTACAGGGAGCAGTTCAGCCAATTTCATACTCCCTCTAAATATAAAAATTGAGCTTCAAGCACAGGGGAGGGGGAGCAGCGGGAAGAGGGTGAAACACAAACTGCCACATTCAAAGGAGGACCTAATTCCCACCGCAGCAGACAGCAAGTGTGTGCCAGCCCAGACTACACCAGGGGGGAGATAAATCCCCTTCTACAGGAGCTCTCCCTTAAAGGAGGATAAAAAACACAAACCCACTTAAGACCAAAAAAAAAAACCTAATAAATGAGAGCTGATGTCCCATGGAGCAGAGGAACTGCCAATGGGATCAGGGTAGGGATCCATGTAAACTCATAACCTGAATCTAATAATGGTCACAGACAGATGCTTCAAATGAAAATGCAAGAGATTCTGGGAGCAGCTTTCACACGGGGGCAGTCTCTTCCTAACCCCCTTCCTGGCTTTGTCCTCCCAATTCACGATCCATTTTCCCCATTAAAAAGCAAACTGCCTACACTGAAACATTCCTGTGTTTCCTTCTGTTTGCTCTAAACACACGAGGCTTCAGTTCCACTGTACAGTCCTTTGCTCTAGGGTTGTTTTTATTCAGCCCTTCTGTTGGTCATTTATTACTTCATATTTTTATGAGTTTTATTCCTATGGAGTTAAAACTTGAGGGCTTACTACTAACTACTAGACTGTTGTAAATATGTCCAAAGTGTTTGGAAATTTGAAGTTAAGAGGAAATTCAAAAGCTAAGGGGTCACACTTAGGACATTCAAACAACCTCCACTATATTTTGTCCTGACATCATGGAGCAGCTATACAATTTGGTAAGTGTATTGCTTTAACTCATATAGCTAATTTTAAAAGCCACACTTCCACAGTCAAAAGAAGAGTACATGGCAATACAAATGAAGCAGCAGGACTTCCTTTCACTGCCAGAGATGGAAGAAGATGTTTCTGGACAAGTTGGATTAGCATCTAGAAGACTAGAAACAGAGCCCCTATATTCTCTTCCCAGCTTGATATTGATGCTTGCATGACAATGGGACAGTTCTGTCTCTTTAGCCCCACTTGCCCAACCTGTAAAATGAAGGATATTTATTACTTCTTAAGAAAGCTGCAAGATCTTCATAGGCACTGCTTGCACTGATGAGAAAGTAATCACAGATTGCACTAACTTGCTTTCACTGCTACTCATAGCGGGATTAGGTAATGCAACAGTAAACACAGCTAAACCTCATCCTCCCTTCCCTACTCAATTCCAGCTTGATCTCCCCATGCATGTGCGAAGAAACAATATTTTCCTAAAAGAGACGAGCAAAGGCATGTCCTACGATGGAGCTGAAGACGGAAAAATGCTCAGACAGACAGGGACTAACAGGGACTTGGAGCAGAGAGACAGGATGGGGAACGAGCCCAAGGAAGGAGAGGCAGTGGGAAGAGCTAGGCTGGGCAGCGACAGCCCAAGACAGCACATCTGTCAACTGACAGCGAGCAATACAAAAAGGCCTTTGAACTTCCAACCATTTCCCTGAGCTCATCCCTCTGCATGGTCACACTGGACATCATCCAAGGTTTCAGCAAAGCTAGGTCTATCGCAAGCCTGCTATTCCTCCCCCTCCCCCAACCCCAATTACACAGGGTGCTCTTTTATGGTCGAGCACAAGGGGAAGGGGGAGGGCGGGGGGAAAAGGGAAGTTTATAAGGTGAAACGCAGACTGAATCACGTCCCACTGTCCTTTGAACACTTTATACCCGCTGCCTGCGGTGAGCAGGTTGCTTTGTACCCAGGGACAGCGAGCAACTGGTGTTCAGAGCTCTGGAGCGCAGCGGTTTGAACAATACTGCTGCTTTAATTAGAGAAGCTCTCGGTCCTGTGAAGAATGAGAAGTTAATTTAAAAAATAAATACAAACTCAAAAACTTATGCTACTTATTAGAGATAACTGCAGCGTGACCCCCAGCGCGTACGTGTATAAGCACGTACACACACACAAACAGAACTGTTTGCTGATCTGTGGCACAGTGGGCAGTAAGTCCAGAAATAAGAATTAAGGACATTAGTCTTCCCTCAGGAAGAAAAAGGAGACACTACATTTTACTAACTACTTTTTGGAAAATCTAGTTCTAGAATAACATAAGTATTTCCAGTCACACTGCTGAGCTGTGTTTAAGGATGTTGCTGGTCAAAAGAAAAAAAGATAGATTAAAAAAAAATTTAAGAGAGTATCAGCACTCAATCTTTCACAGCCCTTTGATCACAAGCACTCTGCCCGAGGGGGCACTGCGTTAATTCTGATGTCTTTTAAAGGAAACACACGTACTCCGAGCCCAATAAAACGATGAAGTATGGTTCCAGATATGGAACTGGTGTCTTTTCAAGAGAAATTTGAACTCATCAAGAGTTCCTAATTCGTTAAATTTGAAGTTTAGAAGTGAAGCTTCACCTGAGCTCTTGCATCTGAGCGCAAGACTGGTGATTAAGTGAAGGGCAGAGGTAAGATGATTCTTCTAAAGTTTCCATTCATTTTAGTAAAAGATCTATGAGATTTTTATCCTCACATCACCCCCAAAAATTTTGTTGTGGGACTGATAAGCAGGCTATACTGATAGCCCTGTTGCTGGCAAGGAACAGACCCTCTCCTGGGCTTGAGTGAGTTGTAGCTCAACAGGAACTCCCTACATTTCCCAATGAGATGAGTACAACAGACCACTTTCAGTAAGCTTTAAGGTAAAAGAGAAAAATTTTCCTCACTCCCTTTAATGAAAAAAGTATTGTACAACAGTGCATGGAGCTAAGCAAGCAAGTCTGTGTCCCAAGGAGCTACACGTTTACAAGCTGATGAGGTATGATACAGACCCAAAATGCAAGTAAGAAGGCTCTACTGGGGGTGGTTGCAAGGGGATCTGGTGTATCTTAGGAGAAACAGAACTATTTATCAACCCCCAGGCCAAGTTTACTCAGTTGTCCTTTCACCCCTGCCGCAGGAAGTAAGGCTCATTCACACCACGCTGGACTTCAAAGCACATGCAGGAGGGCAGAATGAAAACCATTCCTCCTCTTGCATGCAGCTTTCGTTAGGGACAGTCCAAAGCAGCCTCTGTTGGCACAAGGCTGGAAGGCAGCTGAGCTACTCTGTGCGTGTGTAGCAAGGCTTCCAAGCCAGACACTGTCAGCAAGCCAGCGAGCTGACACCAGAGAAAGTCCATGGAGCTGGCATGACAGCTGGGAGGTTGCTTATTACTATTATTACTACAGCACTCTGGCTTGTAAACATGATCCAGAGCAGGAAGCAAACATGTCACGGAATAATTGGCTCCCGTCACAGCAGGGCTTCAGATCTGCAAGAAAAACAGTTCCTGTCACAGCCAGGTAAGCAGAGGCAGGGCTCTCCCAAAAACGACACGAAAATGCTTATGAGAGGCAGACAATCCTAGGACACCAATACAAGTGAAAAATATGTACTTGGAAGTCAGTCAGACTGGGGTGTACAGAAAGGGTAACAGCTGAAGAAAAACTTAGTGCAACTGACTCAAAAAGTGGCAATTTGTTTTATAGTCTTTATCAGAACGTTAAAAAAAAACCTCTCATTTTAAGAATTTATCTCAAAACTGAAAAACTCTCTTAAAAGGAAGAAACATTCCCTGTGTCTGCTTCTGTTTTTCATAGATGCAACTCCTCTTCTACTGAGTATCTTGCTTACTTCTACACAGTGCATTTCAAGCTGTTTGTCATGCTTTAACTGAAATGAGAGAGGATTAGTTCAAGGCTAGAAAATTGCATTAATATAGAATTGAGCAAACTACTGAAGTGTATGCAGTGCTACATAGACACAGATGCAAAACTGAATCCTGACCTGCTAAAGTGATTTTCACCTTTTCTCCCACTCCAGGTTTCACTCTCTTGCTCTACCAGGAGTCCAGCAGTCCAATGTCTTCCCATGAGACAGATCTCTCTCAGGAACCCATCCCTGTCATTGTGTCGGCTTACAGCATACATATGAGCTGATTCCATGAAGGAAAATTAGACCTTAAAATAAGCATGGTCACACCTTTATTTCTCTGAAAAGTTTGGACAGTCACAGAAGAAAAAAGAAATTCCTGTAAGACCAGCCTGAGGCAGACCAGGGAAAATGTGGGATTCCTCGCAATCACTTATGTTCATTCTTCATACCAGAATATTCAACTACTTGATGATATTCTAATTCCTGTCTTTAAAACTCAGAGTTGTACTTCCATACATTGCTGAAAAACACTCCTGACAGCTTTAGCATCTCAGAAGACTCCATATGAGTGTCTGCATAGACTTAGGTTCCTGAGTCAAAACAAACCACTGGGGTCACTCCAGCATGAAGGCTAGCCCTATGGTTTTTGAGGAATCTCACTAATTTCTTAATTAGGCCTTTAATATCTCTGGGGCTTGCAGGATGACCTCATCAGGACAACTCAAACCTACAGTTCATTATTTGTGTTAAAAAAGTATTCACCAATTTCAGACCTGGTGTAAGTCAGTAAAATAAACCAAGTTCAAAACAGAGAAGTTGTCCAAAATTTCACTCTGACCAGAATGCTGTATGCATGTCACAGAGAGATGGCCAGGGAAGGAAACAAAATCTGTGAACTACTGTATCTCATAGTATGTGCAAGCATCAGTGCTGGTTTGCGAGAAGCTTAAATTAATTTAAATTTTGAATTGCCGTTCCAAGGGGCTCACACCCTGCCCCTATTCTTGCACTCCTGTGGCCTTCTTTATGCTGGCACAGTCAGCATAAACAACCTCCTCACCTGCAAAACTCCTCCCACCCCTCGAATCTTCCTCTGTGCTCAGTTAGCACAACCAGGTGAGTTACTGGATATGCTTAACCTCCCAAAACCCTATATTCCTGGCTCATCTTCTCCTTTTTCAGCCTGAGTAGTTAAATACAGCCTCTTCTCTCCTGCCCTTTTGAGATTTTAATGCTATTTCTTCAGTTCCCAGAACCTCATCTCCTTTTTCTTAAGCACAGCAAGCTCTCAAATTCACACTTCTCTTCACTGGATGCAAACATGCAGGTTTTCCTTCCACTTTCTTTGATTTCTCCAGTTAAGGTCACTTCCTTGCCCAACAACCCTTTCACAAATAATCTTTAAACCAAATCACCTCAGTTTGCAGGTAACCTATTTTTCAAAACCCCATTTTTCACCCAAGGTCTTCCATGTTGGTCACTATTTGAAAAATTCTAAGAAATAAGAAGTGAGATGGAATCAAATTTTCACAGCACTGGGTTGAGATCTCTTAGGAGAAGGAGATTCTCCAAAACAGTATTTCACAGATGAGGAAAGCTCCTTTCCTTACAGCAGTCAACAGTGGAAACCAGGGAAGGCTAGAGAAACATCCAACAGAGGAAGATAAACTGCTCAATCATGTCCATTGACAGAACCCTCATATCTTCAGAGTTATGAAGACTTTTAGGAAAGGATTTCCATGAAATTGGGCCTTTTTTCCCACCCTTCAATTCTATCAAGGTTTGTGGAATCCAAAGAGATGAAGGAAGAAAGCAACGTACTTCTGGCCCCAGGGAAAGGGCTTTTCTTTTCCAATTCATCTATTTCATGCTAAATCCATTAGGAGTGACACTTCTTAATCAGTTCTCTCCTAGTTGGGCTCAGCTACCCAGATGCTGACAGTATGCAGATACACAGTAACTGCAAAGTAACTTCTCTCAGCAGATTCCAAGGATTACCATCCTCACCTTCTCTCTTCATAGGGCAGCCAGGATAGAAACTAGAGTGTTAACTGAAGAGGGAAGACACCCTCAATCCTGAATACACTTCTTCACACTGCTTATTTATTTTCCACTGGTATTTATAGCAAAACCATATAATTTAGTTCACAGTGCTTTTGCAAGGTCGGGAAAAAAAGAGGTACTTCTCTCTGTCCTTCCTTTCCCTCTAAAACACTCGCATCCGACAGACGTCTAAAACCAGCTGCAAAAGGCAGAGTTGGGCTTTCACTATGCTTTATGTCAATGGACACTAGCTCTGTTAAAGTACGGGAGTCAGTCAAAAGTACATCATCTACAGTCTTAAACAGCTGTCATACAAAAGTAGGACATGTCTGTAAAACAGAGAAGCATCTACAGAGAAAAAGTTAAAACATTCAGTTCCTACAAACACAAGCCAGTGGTATCCTTACTGCAGCCATCTTCATCGCTGTGGTCCCCACAGTCATTGTCCCCATCGCACTGCCACTGAGCAGGGATGCATGTGCATTCCCCAAATGCACTGACAGCACACGTGAAATGATTGCGTCCACAGGAGCATTCGGTGCTACTCGTAACACCTGCAAAGGAACAGACAAAGAAAAAAGGATCTTTTGAAGAGATCTGTCTATTTTATGGTAAATGCATTAAATACAAAGTGATATTACAGTTTTTCTCCATACACACATACATGTATGAACACATACTCTACTGCAAAGGAAAACATTCACTCCCCTCACACTGTTGAAATAGGAGATCAAGTATTATGCAGAGTTTCCTAGAATCGGGCTATTTGAAGGCAACAACAAATAGCAACTTGCCAAAAGGAGCTTTGGGAATCAGTTAGCTGGAAAACAACACGGCACTAGTTACAATCAAATTCAAGGAAAGCCAGGTATCAGAAGACCCTTTTTATTTTACAAACTCAGTCTTCTTCTAGAGCACAGTGCTGCTGCTACTTCACTTAGTTCTGACACCACAACAGAAGGACCAGTAAAGATGCTACATCAGAAAGTTATCTGGGGTCTTCTCCAGACTCTGAACTTTCTACAAGCAAACCTTTTACATGTTACACCTTTAGACATTTCAGATGCCAGTGAAAGAAAAAGAATACATCCTTTCTAATTTATCTGTAGGGACTGCGCTGTGACATTATCCTACACATAACTGACATTTGTGAAAGCAAAAGGATTTTCAACTCTACAAACTGACCAAAAGAAAACGCAGTCCAAATGTCAATATAGACTCCGATAAGAACATTTTTTTTCCAGCCTAAAGTTAGCTTAAGGAGCTCCCAACCCTTTTCTCCCAGCTACAGAACAATACTCTGCACAGCTGTGACTCTCCCCCCCTGTGCAAATGCAACTATTTGTTATGTTATCCCACACATTCTCTTAATAATTCTCTGCTTTGAGAGAGAATAGGCTATAGCCCACCTCTGGAAAATGAGAAGGTCATGCTTGAACTGCTGTTTGACGTTATCTAGCCAATCTATGTAATCAATATCACTGTTAAACAAATGATTATTCTATCAATCAACAATCCCCTCAGGCTAGTCTGTGACTGGATTGTTTTTTCATGGTTCCTTCTTTCCACAATTCAAACAACCCAAAAGCTCTCAGATTAAACCATAGATCATAAGGAAAGAAGTACAGGGGGATACCTGCCCCAAGTGAGTTATATGCATCCTGAACTATTTGCAGACTTTTTGATCTCATTTGTTACATCTAGTACATCTGTGATGAACCATGAGCTAAGCAAGAAAAAAAAAGCCTCATAAGTTCCTTACTGACCATTCTAATTGAGAAAAGCAGTATCTGCAAAATTTTATGTAACTATTCTGCAAACTCTCTCAACAGCAGAATTCCCTTCAGTGAAGACATCCACTTGTGCAAGTTAAACTAAGATTTAAGTTAAGAGGGGATGTACTTCTTCCTTGAGAAACAATTCCATGATAAGTTTCTTCTGCAACAAACTTGGCTGAGGTTTCTGCCAGTCCCTGCTGCCTGCTCCCAACTGCTCCTCTGCAGGCTGCAAGGCCTTGCTACACACCATCTCAAGGTATTACTGCAGATGCTAGAGAAAGCGGCCAATATCTGGTGTAACAACAGATAGTGGCAGGAAGAACATGAGGTAAGTAAAGAGCAGAAAGAAGAAAAGGCAAATGAAAGGGGACAGAGCAATCAGATGCTCAAAGGTTTTATCAAGTATGGTCAGGGCAAAAGTGATCTCAAAAAGACAACAGGTGGGTGATGTAGAGTCAGAAGGCAAAAAAAAGCTGCACAGACCTCCCTAAGGAAAAGCAATGCATCATCGATGCAACATCTCTGACTATTAGAAATAAACAGAAGGAAATTCAGAACAACCGCAAACCTCCCCCAAAATCAAAGAGGTTACTTCAAACTGGCAGCACAGGAAATTCAGGACAAACCACCTTCTGCTGTTGCCTACCACTATTTAGAAAGGCAGAACTAACTGTATATTGTATCCAAAGCAGCTGCTGTTTAAATCCCCTTTTCCAAAGCAATTTTTGTACCATTATACTCAGCAGTATTCCAAAGCAATTATCTCAGCTACTTTAAGCTCCAATACCCCTTCCTGCTGGAGTACACAAAGACAATCATCATCCTCATTACTCCTAGAAAAACACAAATCTGAAAATACTAGTGACTGGTTCTGTCTTGCCCCGGCTCCACTATGTCTTTGGGTAGCTTCACCAACAGGAAAGGATCAAACATCAAGGCATACAAGTCTTAAACTAGGGGAATATACTTAATTATTTCTGGATAAGCACAAATGAGAGAGTTGAGGGAAAAAAGTAGAAGTGAGTTATTTTAGCTCCCCAATAGCAGAATGAAGGTAGAGCTCTGCGACAGCAGAGAAAGAATTAGTGCTGCTGTCCATACCTGCAAATTGCAACTTAGTCTGTTGTATTGTCAAACACGCTGTTATCTCCAAAAGTTGCTACTAATATTAGGTTTTATATATAAATATACACACACACGTATTAAATCTGTTCTTCCCACCTCATTAAAATTGCTATGTTCAACCAGCTCTGGCTTGTGCTTTTACTATGCTATAGAAATCGTTGAAAGCCAAAGGATACATTAAGACCTAGATACCAACATCCTCTCATGTGTGCTAGCCTGTATCTGTAGGACCATTATGTAAGCATACTTTGCTTAACTAGTCCAAATTATGACCTTTGCAAGTCTAATGCTTTGTGATTTGTGACCTTTAGGGTAACTAACCTTCTAGTCACTATAATGATGCATTTAATAAATCATTATTTACCCTAGTCTTACACTTGGACAAGTAAAGCACATTACTATTTGGAGAGCACACTAATTCCCACCTGTGAACAGCACCAGAAGAACCAATCGTGGATAAAGAGTCTTTACCCAATAAAAAGAACAGGTTGAACAAAGTCTGGGACGCCCTGCAGACAACAAGAATTTTCTCAATGATTTCAACATGGATAGTATTTCACCCTTGGTGTCCCATGATTATTTCCCAGTGCGTGGAGCTCCAGTGACACTGCCCTGTAACTGTATCTGTAACAGTAGAGGGCCAGGAAAGATAAAGATGAGAAACATGTTTTCTCCAACTCCCTCAAACACAGGCAGAAGTAGCACATTTAGTGCAAAAAGCCTCAATGGAAGACTTGCTTTTTAATGACGAGCTCTCATTAAACATAGGGAGTGTGAGACAGAAGACTAAGCAAGCACGCACTAGGGTGGAACATAAACCTCCAGTGTCACGTTTCAATCGCTGTTAGTCAGGGGTCCAGGAGCTGGACGGAAGTCAGAACTTGCTGTTCAGGCAACTGGACCAGCAATCAAAGCAGACGGATCTGCTTACACTTCTGCGCATTCTTCTGGAGCAGGAGCAATGAGGGGTACCTCTGGGCTTAGCCATGACCAACGCTTTTCCTAAAACTTTTCATCACACCGCAGGCTGGGACTTTTTACCAACCCTCTGTACTAAAAAAACATTTCACTTACGCAGGAGGCAAAAACCCGACATATTTTAACAATGCAATATATACAAAACAATACATAAAAGATAAAAATAGGCATTGCCAGGTGTTGAGCTGGTATCACTGAACCTTCATGGCTTCTCTTGATACCTCATGACCACCACACTAGTTTCCTATTCTCTCACTTGCCCATGGGTACGCACAAACAAAAAGTCATCTTCACTGTCTGTAGTTTGGTTCCCTCCAGATGTGATAGCAGCAGGATCCAGTAACCAAACATTTTCATAGCAAAGTATTATACAAACAGCCTCCAGATTTTAAAAACAGGAAGTCAGTCTAAACACAGGCCTCAGAGCTAACATCTGCCATCACCTTAAATTTAGCATGGTATGCTCAGTTTCTTCAGATTCCTTCCAAACACCCTCACCCATCCTCATGTTTATCTGACAAATGAAACGTCTCCTGAGGGAGGGTGGGTTCTTCCCTTCCCCCTCCTAAAAAGATAGTTAGGATCTTTGTAATTTTATGTCTAAAATTGGCAAAACAGTTATGTCATTTCTGGCTGAAGAGCAAGAGTTACTAATCATCCTGTTATTTCTGCACTTTTTTTTTTGGAGGGGGGAATGGGGTGGAGTGGGCAGGGTTGCTTAAACAATAAGTTTTTACTCTGCTTTTTTCTTCTTATCTTATTCCCTCCCTACCCTCAGCAACTCTTCATGAGGCCAAATAATATAGCCCATAAAGAAAAACTTTATATACAAAGCTTGCAACCCTCAGAGCTATTAGATAACATCTGTATTTGCCACAGATGCACAGAAATACTGACATGACAAAGGAGGCTGAAGTGGACAGAGTAATTCACAAACTGAACTCTGTAGCCTTTGTTTTGTTAGGGACCGCAGATACCTGGGAGAGTGAAAACACTGTTTCTTTTAAGTCCTGATGGTGAACTTTTTTCCAAATGGAGAGGTGCTAATCCTATTTTCAGTAAAAATAATGACAGATGGCAGCTCTTACCACTATTTTGTATCAATTCGACCTTCTACAGGCTTTTGCTTCAACATGGAACCACATAACAGCCCAGGTTGTAAGGAACCTCGAAAGACCACCTGGTCCAACCTTTAGTGGGAAAGGGAGCCTAGATGAGATTACCCAGCACCCTGTCTAGTCCCATCTTGAAAACCTACAGCAATGGAGATTCTACCACATCCCTAGGGAGGTTGTTCCAGTGAATGATTGTTCTTACTGTAAAAAACCTCCTTTCTTATGTTGAGATGAACATGCTCCTTCTCTTCAGGGTCTATAGAATAACAGAATGGTTTGGGTTGGAAGGGACCTTAAAGATCATCCAGTCCAACCCCCCTGCCATGGGCTGGGACACCTCTCACCAGACCAGGTTGCCCAAAGCCCTGTCCAACCTGGCCTTGAACACTTCCAGGGAGGAGGCACCCACAGCTTCCCTGGGCAACCTGTGCCAGTGTCTCACCACCCTCACAGGAAAGAATTTCTTCCTAATATCTAGTCTAAATCTCCTCTCTTCCAGTTTAAAGCCATTCCCCCTCATTCTAACACTACCTGCGACAAAAAGTGCCTCCCTAGCTT